TAGCGCGGCCCCCGGCGCGGCTCTCACCTCAGGCCTGGGCCCCCCGGCGGCGGCGGCGGCTCCTCCCTGCGCGGTGGTGGGGCAACAAGGGGCGCGCGGCGGCGGCTCTGACGTCGGAAACCGGCTTCTCTCCCCCTCTCGGCGCTGCATGTGTTGCAATCTGCTCACATGGGGCCTGTGACATCACTTCCGAGGGGCACCGGGGAGGAGGGGGGACGGGACAAGCCGGCGCCACCAATCGTCGCTCTCCCTTGCCCGGCTTCCTATTGGCTGTTCTCCTCGGGCTGCGCACTCCGCGCTGCTATTGGCCGGCCTGCTCGAGCCAGGACCCTCCTCCCGCGCGGGGCATCTCGGTCTCTGCAGTTCCGCGGTGGCGCGAGGGGGCAGAGCGGCGCTCGCGGGAGCGGCTCGGATCTCGCGAGATTTCAGCAATGCCGCGTCAGGCTGAGGAGCCAGGCTTAAAGGGCAACGCGCCCGTCTCGGGGCCGCGGCTGCGGGCGGGGCGTTCCCTGCACGTGGGGTTAGCCCAACTACAAGGCCCAGTATGGCCCAGACCACGTGACTCCCCACGAGCGGGGCCCAGGGGTGATGCCCGGCCGAGGGCGCTCGCGCGGGTCGCAGCAGGCCCGGCCCGGCCCCCAGACCCCCGGGGCAGAGGAGCTGGGTTGAGCCCACACCAGGCCCCGGCCCTGGGGCCGGGCCAAGCTGCGCTACGAGCCGCCTCCCAGCCCCGAGGTAGCGCCCTCGACCCGCCGAGGACCTGGAGGCGCCGGCAGCCGTTGGCCGGGCGCGTTGGGAGGTGCGGAGATGACCCGCGGATCCACCTGCTCGCAGCACTGGGGAGGTGTCTGCTCCCGGGGCGCTTTAGGCGCAGGCCAGGAGCGGGGCTTTGCGGTGCTGGCAACGAACAGGTGGGACCCAGTTGTTGGGAATCCAGAGTCCACTTTGGAGGGAGCAGTAGGCCTCGTGCTTACCTCGCCGTCTTGTTCCAGCCCAGGCGGATGGGAGCCCACCCTTCCTTGGGAAAGAGACTCCATTTCCTCACACACCTGGTACCAGTCCTCACTAGGTCCAACAGACTCCTGTATAACCTTGTATTTTAGCCTGTAGCTCCATGCAGCGAGCTTTGTTGCACCCACCAATGGTCTGCTGATCTCAGAGATTCCCATGTTCTTTGCTGAAATGTAAGAACAGTATTTTGCCTTTTATCCAGAAGTCTCAGAACTGTTTCCAAACATCCATGAATTCAGAGCTGATCAGCACACAGCTTGTGGACTCATATAATTGCATCAAATCTGCACCGGGCTGTTCCTCACCGGTGTATCGCCTCCCCAAGCACACAGCCCACAGCCATCTACACAATGAGAGTGCAGACACTGTGTTACTTGTTTAATCCCAGCAGTCTCCTAGCCTCAATCCCTGAATTATAAGAATAACCACTCCTGTCACTGGGGTCACAGTGCTCAGAAACTCACTCTTCCTTAAATTGTTGAGCATGTTTTGGAAATGCTTCTCTTTCTGTTGCAAAGATATGGCTTCACTCAGTGACCTAAACCTGGTGTTTGTGCCTGGAGCGGAAGCCGAATGCTGGGTGTCCTTGGCCTGTGGATCTATGCAGGCCAGCTACAGAACAGTCTCAGGAACAGGGACGTTTACATAGAGCCACAGAGCAGATGCACAGCAAAGGTGTGGTCACAGAACAGAAACTCAACTGACTTCTACAAAGGGCAAGTGGGCACCCCACTCCTGTCCATACTGTACTTACCACATCTGCACTGGAGGATGCAGCCTCTCAAGTACACAGCAAGGAGATGGAAAATAGACTGAGGTCAATCTGGACCTTTGGAAAACCAGTCGCTCTGTGAAATACAATGGGGTTGGGATCATGTGAGAGGAACCAAGCAGACAGAGAAAGGAGCTTAGGCAAATGCAGTGTTGTATGGGGGGCATTTTTTATATGCCCATCTTTTCTTTCATGTTGATTCTTATACCCCCTGCTTGGAAAATGGCAGTCTTTTGCACAGCCTGAGAATGAAGCAACAGGCTTTTAAAATTGCTTTGGTATTTTACAAACATCTGCTAGTTAGAAAACAGGATGAAATCCTGGGGCCCCTGCAGGACACGTTAGGAAATTTGGTCGTCACACCAGACGACAAAGCCAACATATTTAACTATTTCTTTTTCTCCATTTTCCTAAGTAGGGACCGGAACAGTCACTCCCCCGCTGGGCCCCCCTCAGGCCCCAGGGGAGGCTCACCTAGGCCGAGGGTTAGTGAGGAACTAGTTAGGGAACTTCTGGAGGGACTCGATGTATTCAAGTCAGCCGGTCCAGACGATCTCCACCCTCGAG